ACCAGTCTGATCCCTCTTTTCTTTCTTGGAAACTTTCTTTCCTTTTGCTGGCTTTTTCTTATAAGAAAACTTTCATTTCTTAAAGTTAGACGGCCTAGCAGCTTCTGTAACCATCACTATGGCTTTATCTTACTTCATAATATCCTCAACCCTCTGCAACATATTGCTTAGTTCTGGCAATGTGAGATTTGGTTCTTGAATACTAAAATTCACTTTGAATTGATTAAAGGATCAAGCAAGTGAAGCAAGAATTGCATTAACTTTTGATTCATTGTCCAGCTCGGCTCCCAAGGATTCCAATTCATTTATGTACCCAATCATCTTATGAACGTGGGCCTGAACTGGTGTACCTTCAGCCATCTTGGTGTTCATCAAACCACTCATAGCGTTTTGACGTGCAGTACGATTACGTTCTTCGTACAAAGCCTTAAGGCTTTCCAAGATCTCCTTGCAAGTCTTCTTTCCTTCATGTTGCTTTTGTAAAGTAGGGTCTAAGGAAGCGATAATATAGCACTTTGCAAGTTCATTATGTTCAACCCATTCATCATGCTCGAGAATCTCATATTCTGTTGCATCAGGACCAGGTTCAACAGGTTCGTCCTCTTTTTGCCAATTTTTCAGCAGTAAGGACGATAAACAAATTTCTTTTCCAATCCACATAATTTGGGCCAGTCAGTTTATAGTCATCAAGAAGCTTAGCAAAAGGACTAAACTTAGTCATCCTACACAAGCAGAACATAATAACATAAGAATATTAATTTTACATTTTATTATTGCACAATCATTACTAGGGATAATTTAAGTAATGATATTCACTTAATATGTTTCTTTCATACAAAAAAAAAATATGAACAGGAAATCCAAGCTTAATTATAAACCTCCAGATTTTCAAGATCGAATATAATTAAACAAGGTAGAATCAGTCTATTCAATCATTAACAATTAATGACTTTCCTTTAATTTTGGTCTTTGATGTATGACATGACTCTACTATTTTAGCAAGCATCCCAAGACATCAATGAAGTGTTTACCCATCAATCCAGCTATCTTATAGAAAACAGGTGGCACTACCTATTTTAGTCTAGTGGTCCCATTATATATAAAACACTTGGCATCCTTATGCAAAACATAACTAGATAATAAATTTTAACAAACCCTATCCTTTGTGGCATCAGATAAGCTAAAATATTATTATCTAAGTTATATCTTTATGATGGAAGACCTTTAGATTTATATTTCTTAAATATTAATCTATCTACACTTCTATACAACTTTTGTTATGTATTATAATTGAGAGAAAATAACAACAGTCAATTTCTAATAAATTCTAAACTGTTTTATTTAAAAGAGAAAATTCAGAACAATTCTGGACCTATTAATAATTTTCCATGTATTACTTTAATCTCATGAAAAATTAAAATTAAACAATTTAAAATAATGCAACCATGTTACATGCATAATTTAAATAAGTATTTCAAAAAATACAATGATACATTATCAATCAATAAGAGTTAAATAATCTTTTCAACATTAGAAAATAAATTATACATCTATATGGGCTTCAGAACAAATTCTGTAGCTCTTAAGGGTTAATAAGAAAATAATCACTTCTTTCAGATGGGTTCCAGAATAGTTTCTGGTTTAAACAGGGGGCTGAAACTAATTTTACAGCAAAAAATCAATACTGGTGGACTTCAGAACAGTTTCTGGGTCAAACAGGGGTCTAATAATAATTTTACAGTAAAATTCAAATTATCAGGATTTCGGGTTTTGGTACTGTTTGCGGGTCAAACCCGTTTCATTAAACTTAAGTCTTAATGGGTTTGGATACATAACCATTTATGAAAAATAATCCATTAAGATCATCTTCTTCCATGAAGATTAGGGTTAGGGTTTGTCTAGGTTAGAGGGATGGCCCGCCACCACCATTGGGGCGGCGGCGGTGGCGACGGCGGCGGCATCATCTCCGGTGATCATCCAATTTTTATTTTTTTATTTTTTGTTTAAAGATGTTGTGAGATCAAATCTCAAACTCCGGCCATCTCCACCTCCGCCTCCCATCCAATAGACCACAACTCCTTGATTAAAGAAATTATAACAATCTAAAAACTCTATTTAGATCAAATCTAACAAGAACCCAAATATTACAATAATTGAAAAAGAAAAATTCTTTGATCTAATCATAAGAATTTTAACCCATAAACAATAACCACTTATTGCAAACAACGATTTCAGATCATAAACAGTAACCCTCCGACCGTGAACAGTATTTCCGACATGAACAGTACCACCGATGAACAGTATTCTCGGTGATTAACAGTGCCATTGGCCGATGAACAGTAACCCGATTTTTTTTAAAAAATCTAAATAAATTATTACAGATTGGGTTCTAAACCCGCTCTGATACCAATTGTTGGAAACATAATATACAATACAGCGGAAAAATGCATATCATGTAGATTAATCAAAATTAATTAAAATCTAGAAAAATACCTGAAACGCTTTCTGAATTTCTTTGATAATCAGTTCCAAGATCAACACAGTAGCTTTCTCAAGAGAAAAAGCCTCCAACTGAAATCCACCCGTCACCGAAGAGGAACAATACAGAGAGATAGGTTCTCAAAATCTATTTCTTTTTCTCATCCTTTTTGAGGCTACATATGAGCCCTATATATAGGATTGGATCTGCCTTATGGATTTCAATTTCAAAACAATTCTTAATTGTTTAAAACTCTTATCCATAATGTTTAAAGATAGAATATTCTTTCCATAACAATTAGGATAGAAATAGATTTGTTCAAAAACTTTATCCATAACAATTAGGATAGAAATAGATTTGTTCAAAAACTTTATCCATAACAATTAGGATAGAAATAGATTTGTTCAAAAACTTTATCCATAACAATTAGGATAGAAATAGATTTGTTCAAAAACTTTATCCATAACAATTAAGGATAGAATTAGAATTGCATTGTATGTATACCTCTTCTAATGACATTAGTGAGACCAATTGGGTCCCATATCGAGAACCAATTATTAATCAAATTAATAATTTTAATTTAACAATCAAATCCCTATCCGACCAACTGTTCATAAAAGCTCTTCCATAATATGGGATTAAATATTCATGAATAATATTATCTTACATTCAGTCCCCTCCAGTATCAATTGATTTTAGGAAACTTTATTGAGCAGGACAAATCACCTACTTGCTCATTCCTAAAATTGCAATCCCATGATCATAAATAAAAAACCATTTTTGAAACAACAAAAATATTTTATTTTATAAGAAAATAAATTTAGAAAAATAATTTTCAAAAACCACCCGTCGACGGGAATTTAATATATTCATGGGATATGCATAATAAATTAACTCATAAAAATGAGTATACTGGATCCTATCTAGATATCCATCACTTCCCTAAATGAAATCTAATAACCCAATATTTCAGGCTGTATAACACTTGTAAAACAAGCTTAACCATCATATCAAAGTATATTAGATTATCAAATCGAAAATGATAATATCATCAAGTCTAAGGGACCATGTAACAATTTGGATTCTCTCTCTCTTAGGTGACTCGTCCTAGAGAATCCAAATAAGGTCTTGCGCTACACATATCAAATATGCGCTTATGACATACACCCGGGGAATCTTCATTCCCGATAGTTGAGATCAACCATCACATCTAATATGTCGTTGTCATGCATAATAACCTGTCATAACTAAGCTATCCTTTACTAGTTATAGGTTAAGCACAAATTTAAGAAATCTCTGAATTAGATCATATCTCCAAGCAAGTGACCATCACATTGCATGATCTAACAAAATAATCTCTAAGGATAATATAACAATTATATAAAAAGATACCCAAACAACATGTGCAATAATAAACTCAATTAATAATCAATAAAAAATGTATTGGATGTTTAAGGGCATATAACACTACTCTAGCAATCTCCCACTTGCCCTCACATCCAATCAGATACAATCCTAACTCCCATTTTTTCTAAATGTCTGTCAAAAACCTTTTGTGACAACGGTTTTGTGAAAGGATCTGCAATGTTATCCATTGTAGCAATCTTTTGAATCACCACATCTTTCATGTTGTGAATCTCTCTAACGATATGATATTTCTTTTCAATGTGCTTAGACTTCTGATGAGCCCTTGGTTGTTTAATTTGAGCAACTGCTCCACTGTTATCGCAGAACAATGGAATAGGAAATACACTAGCAGGAACTATGCCAAGCTCACGGACAAACTTATTTATCCATACTCCTTCTTTTGCGGCTTCACTTGCTGCTACATATTCTGCTTCGGTTGTAGAATCAGCGGTGACATTTTGCTTAACACTTCTCCAACTAAAAGCACCATTATTGATGATATAAACATATCCAGATGTAGACTTTCTATCATCTGGATCGGATTGGAAATCAGAATCAGTATATCCATGAATGATAGGCTATAGGCTGGGTCCGACCCGGCCCATGCCCACCCCCAGATGGAACTATGATGAGCCTTATTTCACAGCGCACCAACTCTATTTGCTCAAAAAGAATCATAAATATTGGACCATCATCCAAAGGCGTTGCTTGCTATCCATTTGGGGCGAACGCCGGTTAGGTTCGATTTAATGTGTCTCCAGAAATAAATGAGGCTTAGAAAGCCCATTTATAGTGTGGATACGTGGCCCATGAGGCTACAGCAGACGGATCAATAGACAACTAAACGAACCGCACTCTAATGTGGCCAAGAGGGAATCAGCAGGTGCCGGTGTCGCACGAAGAGCGAGCGTTGACGTGTCAGCTCCTGGAAACAGAGGCATGCATGGCCGCCACGCGTCAGCTGCAAAGCCCATGAACTCCGCCACCTGGGTTCCTCTCTATCCCATTTTCTTTCCTATTTCAGCGCCCAACTGCTACAGCGTATTACAATTAACAAATAATAGAATTTTAGGAAAAAGGAAAAGGGCCAAAAAAAAAAAAGAGAGGAGAAAATGATGTCTGGGTTGCTGGGAGGTGGAAGAACCGGCGTTGTATTTCTGAGCAGCGTCGGCAGAGCCTTTGCCAACCCTGCCCTTCCTGCGATTCGATCGCCGCGGTTCGTCAGCTTCCCGGTCGCCGCGAAGTCGACACAGGTAAAACATAGATTAATAGTGCTTGAAACGCCATGTACGAATTTAAATTAGGCACAATAGTATGACAGAAGGTGAAAACTGAAAAATTTTGCGAGATGGAAAAAAACTAGGAAAAGTGGCATTATAGTATGGCAGAAGATGAATACTTGAAAATTTTCCGGGGTAAAATAAACTCGAAAAAAGTGAAACTTATGATGCTGCGTTTGCCGGGAGTCGAACCCGGGTCTATTGCTTGGAAGGCAATTATCCTAACCGTTGGACTACAAACGCTTGACGAAAAGTTCGCTTAATTAATTTCTTGGCAATAAAACAATTCTGACACAATTCCCACAACTGGCTGTCGTTATTGAACTCGTGGGAGATCAAATCGGACTTTTCAGATGGCTGAAATTACTTTTTTTTAACACGGCATGACAAAACTGAACTAATTTTCTGAGGGGTTATTTGCATGTACACCCCCTTACATCATAGGGTATTTGCAAAAAATTCCACCAAATCTTAGTATTTGCAAAATTACACCCAAAATAAACAACTTTGTGAAAAAAAAATTATCTCTACAATCAACAAATCATCGACGTCGTGCTAAAATTTTGACTATCTAATCGATAATTTTTAGAATGCGATTACAACCTAGCATGTTGAAGTTGATGACTAATAGCTTTGAGGGTAATTTTCTTTTTCAAAATTGAAGATTTGAGGGGTGGTTTACTAAATACTGAGATTTAGAGGGGATTTTTGGTAATAACCATGACGTAAGGGGGCATATATGCAAACAGCCCTTTCCTAATTGTGATGAATGATTAGGGGCTGTTTGGTTTCCTGTTTTTGAGGGAAAGCCACTGTTAAAAGCATGTCAAAAGTGTTACTTTTTGACAGGCTTTCAAGCAAAATCCTTTTTTTTAGAGGCGTTTTTTCTTAAAGCCTGTCAAAGAAGTGACACATTGGTAGGCTTTCAAGAGAATTTTTTTTTAACCAAACAGCCCCTAGACGACGACATGCTATCGCTAAAATTTACGCCGTTAAATTCAAGTGAAAAGAACAAGAGACGTTGGCCTTTCCTAGGTTGCAAGAGGGTGATTGGGTTTGGTTCATTTTTGAGTTACAGGCGCATAACAACGCAGATGAAGAAAGAGAGGGGGAAATGGTAGACAAGGCGAAGGCAACAACACAGAGAGCCAAGGAAACAATGAGGGAAGGATGGGAGAAGATGTCAGACCAAGCCGAGACCGCCAAAGAAAAAACCAAAGAAGGCGCGAGTCACGCGAGCGACAAAGCCAAAGAAACCGCGAGTGAAGCTCAAGAAAGGGCTCGGGCAGCCAAGGATGGCGCCAAGGAAGGAGCGAAGAACATGGGAGAAAAAGCGAGCGAAGCTCGAGATGGGATGGAGGAAAAGGCTGAGACGGCGAAGGGGAAGATAAAGGAGACGGTTCGGGGGGCGTGGGACAAGGCGAAGGAGGCGGGGCAGAAGATAAAGGAGAGAGAGGGAGGGGAAGG